ATGTAAACATCATCAATCGAAATATTTTTGAATATTCCATGTAAACTTTCTCACTGACCGTTTCTGCAGATTAAACTTTTTGTTTTGCCGTCATAAAGCATGTTGCTGAAACTTCTAACATATGTGAACAAGCTGCAGAAAGCTCAGGTTGTCAGTGTCGTCACAAGCAACTCATAAGACCTGCACAGACGTCAAGCTGCCACTTCAATGACTGGATGGATTATGGGGGAATGGCTCCCTGGACACAGACAGGTACACGGCCCCTCATCTCTGCGGGGCCCTCTTAACTGAGTCATTTCATACGGAGGCTGTGACACCAGGGGCCTCCTGACCTCAGGGGTCCATCTTCACCTCTGTGGTTCCGTCCCGGGTAAGTTTAATCAACTAAAAGGAGTTGGTTATTGTCTCACTGAGGACGACACGCGGTTAAAACACCACTGTTGTTGTTGTTCAGATGGTTGAGTAACAAATCCACCAGTTGGAGTTTAGAGATTATCAGACACCACATCACTGCACAGGTGACAGTAACATTTAGTTTCCTATGTAAAAACTTCATTTTTACAAATATGAAATAAACGAATGTAATGGATTTTATAAAAATGGTTTGCATGACATTTTTTTCTCACATCTGTATCAGAGTTTATGTTGCTAACTTCTATTTTACAGAATAATCAACACAGAAAAGATGTTTCCTTGATTCCAGTTCTATATATTATGTTGTATTTGTGTTTTCTTTAAACTTTAAAATATCAAACCTCCATCACATGTCTTTGGAATAACGATGTCATATCAGAATTGTTTTTCTTCAACATTGGCCTCTGAAAATCCACATTGGTCAGAAACTATTTTCCGTGTATGAGTATAAATATCGACTGGTCTGCTGTTCTTGTATTATCTGTATATTTCATGTTTATATGATATATACTCTCACTTAATCTTCTAGTTCTGGTTAGTTGTAAAACTGCATTTTTTTGTACTGCAACGACAATAAAGTTCAATCTGAAACGGGATCTGATAAAATCAGATTAAATAAAATAAGATA